TAGGGAAAGTAGCTTTTAAATTGCAGCACTTAAGTAGTTTCTTTAGGATGTACACTTGAATCAATATGTGCTGTCTGAGGGTGCAAGTGTGAGCTGCAGTGTGATGTGTTCTGTTAGTACTTGATTTTAGCAACAACTGGTGCACAGGTCGCATGTATTTAGACCAGTTGTTTAACTTTGAAAGAACTGCCAGATGGATGCCTGCACTTTAAAACAAGAATGAAGGGATGGTTGACAAAGTTCAGTTTGTCTCATCTGCATTTCTCAACTCTGAGCTCTCAAATTGAAAAACATTGGTGTACTACTTATGTTGACACTTCATTAGTTTTATTCAGAGTGTTGAGTTTGGTACTTTATTTCCTGGCTTTATTTTTTTGCAGAGTTCTCAAATATCCTGCTTTCAAGAATGCATCTTTAACTTACGTTCTTGATTGCAACTCTTGAATGTGCTAGTTAGCTTCTGTGTGTTTAAAACTACACCTCTTCAAGGCTGCATGTTCTCTGTACTTTGGTTTAAGGGATAAAATCTAATACTTTCCTATTACTGAAAGGTAGTGGCAGAACATGGACATTTTTCTTGCCCTAAATAAAAACTTTAGTGACTCAGTGTTCCCCAAGCAGCAACAGTGGGAAGTGGGAAGGCAAAAGCTTTAGTTGATGCAGATTGCATGTGGCTTCAGCACCTACTAAACATGTTTTTGTTGATGGCTTGGTTAATCTGGAGAGATGGGTTCCCCAACTGTGTACAGTGAGGAGTGGAGGACAAGGCCTAAAAACCTTCAGGCAGCTCTGGCACCAGCCCCAGGACTTGTCTTTGGCATGCAGCACATGCTTTCTTCTCCTGCTGATATTAAGGGGAGTATTTCCCAGGTGTTTAGTTCATCTACACCTGCACATGGTAAGGGTCATCAGAGAGAGTTAAGTTAGGGATCTCTTCTAAATTTGACCATCTAGTCTACTACATAGTGGGACTGATTTTAGCTAGAACCTGTACCCTTTTTGAATTATACAAAGTAGTTTAATTGCTAGTGCTCGTACCTGCATTCTACTAGTACACACTTAGTGAAAATACTGATACGACATTGAATAATCACCGTCTTTTTTTTTGAGGATGCTTTTTTCTGTCATTCGTCTCTGCATGCTGGAGACAGCATTTATGACCGTGTGTGGTAAGGTGGTTTTGGTTTTTTTTTACCTGTGTGTGGTGTGAGAGTAACCTGTTACATATAAAGGGATGGGTTTTGGCGTTGGCTGCTCTTGATTATAGGTCTTGGTTGCTGTCCTCTAGGCAGTTTTGTTGTCCTGTGTTTCTGTGTCCCCAGTCACAAGGTGGATTCTCAAGCCTGACTTCCTGCAGTTCAGCTCTGTACAGCATCAGTCAATTTTATCCTTGACTTCAGGTAACTTAGGAAGTAGAAGCTAAAGAGAAGGAGCAATGTCTGTACTTGGGTCTAGAGACACGTGATGCTTCTGAGCATCTTCTGAGACTGTGAAAATGGGATTTTTTTTTTTTAAGTCTTGATCTTTTCTACTGACTATTGTACACACAGTTTGTTATTTTGAAAGCAGATTGCCCCAAAACAAAGGGATCCTGCCTGAAGAGTATGACTTTTAAAAGACTACTGCCAGAACATATACTTCTGTCTTGATGAATTTGCTAGGCTGTGCTTCATGGCTGTTCCTCTGAATCAATTAGTGATTGTTGACAGCTTACCCTCCCTGAGGTAGGGAGCATTTAGTGGTGCAAAATGAGTCAAGTTAAGAGGCTGCTTAAAGCCCAGCACTGATCCTTTGGCGTCCTTCTTATTGAATAGTCTCTGGCTGACTTCTGTGCCTTAGAATGAAGGTTGCTTTGCCTCCTTTTGGATCTGAATGACTAGCACTTCTTTCCATAGCAGGTGGCTTGCTCTTAAGACATTAGGTAGTGGAATGGTTAAATCTGTAAAGTACCTTGCTTCAGCGTGGTAGCCTTGGCTGCTGAAACCACTGCTTTTAGTCTTTCTGGGATGACCAAACCTCAAAGCAATCTCTGCTTTTCACTGTGAAGAATACCTAATGTGCTTGGGGTTGCCAAAGAAACATCTTTCTGCCTTCAGCTGAAGGCTGGTTGATGCAGGAAACAAGCCTGTCTTCTCTATAGGTCATGACTTAAGTGCTTAGAAACAAAGTCCTCTACTTAGCTGTTTTCTGACCTTTTGTTCCAGAAGTGGAAAGATGTAACTGGTACTTGATCAGTTAGTGAGATGACTATTCAAAGTGTTAATCTGTCTTGCAGATCTGAGTTCACATAGTTAGCATTCCTTATTAAAGTTGCTTAAGGATTATATGCTTCTCCCAATTAAGAGGCTGCTGCAGGCACACAGTAGTGAGCCTCAAGGTCTTAATGATGGATGTGCAAGTTGCCCACATCCTTAAATGATGGTTTTGATGTTTTATATGCTAGAAGCTCACATTGCTGCTACTTAGTGTCAAAAGACACCTTGCCTGGGACTTAATTGCAGACCTCTTATTTGAAGGTGTGATCTTGTCTTTATAGCATGAAGTGATGCCTAATAGACATCCTGAATTTAAGTTACATTCTTAGTAGGTGAGAAATCCAGGGTTGGAGTTACTGGAGATGCAATTGGTGTTTCTCCTTTATCAGAGAGCAGCTCCTCAGCTTTGGGACATACTTTCAGCTGCCAGCAAAAACATTGCATCAGTCTTGCTCCAAAAAGCTTTTGTATAAATGAGATTGAGAAATGTGGTGTCTGACCTTATAACTGCATTGGGAACAATACTTCTGATTTAAGTAGCCTGGAGCAAGCTTACCTTGTGTTTGTGGATGCTGGGGAGATGCTTTAGTTCCAGTCCTGTTCTTACTCATTTTCAGGTTTTCTACAGAGTTCTTGAAAAGCAAATTTTCCTTTTCTTTCTACAATTCAGAATGGGGATTGTTACCAGGTTAGTGTGGTACTACATACTTGGTGAATACCTCTAATTGATGAGAAGTTTAGGGGAACCTAGAAATTGAAATATACTTTAATACAGTCTGAACTGCAAATAAGAATTGGTAATGGGCAAAGCTTTGGTCTGCCTTTGACTGTCTAATTTGGGTTGGTCCATATCAGTATTGGATGCATCCTCTGGCTACTTCATGAAGTGAAACTTCCATTTATGACATGGTGGAACTGAGAGCTGTTTGCCAAGCAGGTGAGACAGCTCCAATATAGGAATGCTAAGAAATCTGGTAGTATCTGCATGGATGAATGAAATTAAACATGCAGGTGAACCATTTTGCAGCGGTGAAACATTATTTGATGAAGAAAAGAAATTGTAACCGATCTGCCCGTATTAGCAGGCAGTGTCAGTGCTGGACCATACCCCACTGATGTGATCCACTAGTAAATTTTAAGACATGAAAAAGTCTGCTACATACTGGGTCATGAATGTCATGTGTTGAAACTGAGAAGCATTAAGGATGGCTACCATATTGACCCAAATACTTGTCAGAGTATCCTATGGATTTGAACTAAATTATCTCCCACCCTGGTATTTAATATTCAGTCTGTGGTCACATCTGCAGCGCTGGAGTGCATTTAATACTGCATTATAGAATCATAGAATTGTCTAGGTTGGAAGAGACCTTTAAGATTGTCAAGTCCAGCCATCAACCTAACACTGCCACAACCACCACTAAACTGTGTCCCTAAGCACCATGTGTACCTGTCTTTTAAATACCTCCAGGGATGGTGACTCAACTGCTTCCCTGGGCAACCTGTTCCGATGCTTAACAACCCTTTCGGTGAAGAACTCTTTCCTGATATCCATCCTAAACCTACACTGGCATAACTTGAGACCATTTTGTCTTGTTCTCTTGCTTCTTACTAGCAAGAAGAGACCAACTCCCACCTATCTACAACCTTCTTTTAGGTAGTTGTAGCAAGCAATAAGGTCTCCCCTCAGCCTTCTTTTCTCCAGGCTGAACAGCCCCAGTTCTGTCAGCTGCTCCTCATAAGACTTGTTCTCCAGACCCCTCACCAGCTTTGTTGCCATGTTATGGCAATGCCCAGGTTCCCTGAAGCTGTCTGCATGTTTTAGGATTGAGATGAGTTGAACTTGAGGGCCTCCCTGCCTCTGGAGAACCTATTGGAGGGAAGGTAGACATCCTGGAGTTCATTTCTTAATTTCATGTGAGCAGTCGGAAGCTCTGTTTCGAAAGGGCTGTTTGAGTAGTTTCAGTAATGCTTTTTCCATGGAGTGGAATTTGCTAAAACAGCATCTTAATTGTTTCAACCAATGGTTAGTTCCTTGCAGTGTACTGTCAACATAGTTTGTCCCCCTTACTGATTTTTATCTCAGGGTGTAGTTGTGAGGGAGGTAGGGAGGAAAGCTGAATTGCAGAAGGTTCTTGCTGGTCATCTCCAAGCATGCCATTCATGGGCACAACTTGCTGTTGCAGCAAGTTGTAGCTGAAGTGAGGTTTACTTGCTTGGCTAATGGAAAAACACTGAAAGTGTTCTCAGCAAGAAATAAAATAACTGATTGCTTTTCTGTTTTACCGAAGGTA